ATTTACTAACCATCAAGATTGCCCGACGTTTCTCCGTTGTCCTCATAAATGGGAACTGCTCAAAGAATTGAGGTCCCTTTTCGTACACGCAACCCTGAAAAATACGAAATAATGAATAGCTAGTTTCCAAGAATCTGGACGTGACCCACTTCCTCCTGTTAGTGCAGCGATCAGGTCTGATCACACATGGGCATGCTGTTACATAACTTCAAAAATATTGGGGAATACACGGCGACACTTCTAAACCACCAAAGCTTGCAGCTGAGTAACATCCTCCGGGTGCGCTTCGCCGCAGTTCCACATTGGCCAGCCACTTCAGAATCGCTAGCAATAAAATTTTCGGGTAAGCCGCCCAAACCCGTGGAAACACGCTCAAGTCCCCAATTAGTGCATTTGGGCCCATGAATCCGAGGATCTATATAGAGGCCATCTACTGCCGTAGTCAAGTAAACTACTACTTGTGTAATGCTTTAGACATTTTGATACCGACCATGTTGGTCCCAACAACTCTGAATTCCATCACAAAATCTTTTAATTGATATAATTGAACCAATCCCAAAAATAAGCAGTTTGTTGTGACATCGACTCGGATGGTGGTGAGCGTTTATCTGACAGGAGTGATTGACACAATTGATTACTAACCAACCCAACTTATTGGAGTGGCATTGGTATGTGGAGCGGTCACGCGGTTCCTCAAACAGGTAATGGCGTGAGAAATGATTATTCCAATAGGCAATTCAAAATATCAAGCATTTCTCAAACGCATATCGTAATTGACCTGTCATTCCGGTTTTACTGTAGATCATATTGACTTTAGAATTACCCAACATGGAAACTTCCCATAATCTGAAGTAAACAATAAAGTGAAGATTATCAGTGCATTACCAAATAACATAGCGTATTGCTCAAGCAAGTCTTGTAACCACAACAACTATTCGGTGGAAAGTACAAATACGTGGCTCAACGCTGATGTGTGCACAGAAGTTGGTTTTAAGTTGCCATGGGACTTGAACGTCTGAATGAATCGTTTAACCCAGTTAGATATTTCACTAAAAACGTCGTCAAATTGTATAGTTTAAACTTGAATCGCACAACAATGAGTCTGTGACATGCTAATGTCGATCGTTTGTACCCGTGTTATTGTGCACTTCAGCTTTTTGCCGCCTAGCAGAACCATCTCATTGGAATTGATAAATCGTCATTTCAGTGAAGCCAATCGGTGCTGGGAAACCGGGAAGCCGTGCGTAGCTGTTTCCTATTTAGTGGGAGTCAGCAAGAAGGCGTATCTCATTTCAGTAGGAACATACGAACTGGCGACCCTCCGACCAGTGGCTAAATAATTGACCGTTCTACCACAAGGTTTGATCAGTAGTATGATTGGGTTTAACTTAGACAGCCCATATGGTCACTCATTGTTCAATCACGGAAAACCACATCACGTGGCCACGTATTAACCGGCTTCTCGATGTTAACTTTTCAGAAAGAAGTTTCAGTCATTGTGTAAATACAACCTTCCTCCGAGTTACTTGTAAGCGATTCATATAGTTTTGAGTTCCTTTTGTACCATACCACAAGCTACCCAACCTCATTGCTTAATTGTCCAAAATTGGCACCGTTCAGGCTTGGATATCTAGAGGCCAGAAATAGCTATCTTGCTGAAATTCGCCTATGGAACCAGAAGTCCCCAATCAGCTATTTTCAAACTTGAAGGCCAACTTTCGCAAACAACGATATGCGACTATCATTTCGACAAATGCACCCATTTTCATCACAGTATGGCCTTTCATAGTGACTCAGCTGAATCTCTCCGTGACATTTTGTGACTCAATATCTCACCGTATTTCATCACGTGACTATGCGATGCCTTATTTTTACCTCCCGTACTGTTGATCCAGTATGCGCATTTTCTTGTATTTCTGGGCACGGGTGAGAGGTAATGACAGACGGGGAATATGTGCATCCGAAGGCGTGAAATCATCACTGTTGTTAAAATATACGAGTTTGGAACGATACACACTACTAATGAATCAATGAGCACTCCGCTGTTCCAGGACAATATGCACACAAACACATGTTAGGGACGTGACGCTCTAGGGCAGCCATCCTCACTACCATCATCACTGAAAGAGGTGAACACTGATGCTCCGCTTCAAACATGCCAATTTTTAGTGGAAATAGTAGGGATAAGGAAACAGAAGGAAAACATACGGCTAGTCTACATTAAACACAGGAAATAACTCCGACACTCATCCAGACAATCTGGATAGAAACTGACAGCATGAACGCCACCGACATCGCCGGGCCTACTACAAATATTCCGATGCGCCTACCGCTACTGACACTCAATCAAGCAAGCACAGTGGTGGTTTTCATCTTAGAAAACAATTTAACCGATAGCATCCAGACTTTAATGGACTTTTTCCCTCTCTACAACGTGAACCTGATCGGGAGGATAGCCAGACCTTTTGGCCATTCATCTAACGGTTCAGTTGGTTTCAGGCCCCCGAGGGTTGTGGATTGCTGAATTTCCATAAACCTCCCACATGCTTGTAAACAAAATTGGCGCTGGTGGTGTCGTTGATAGTGATGGTGGTGGTCGTGACTAGTCATCTGCAAACTGAAGTATTCATAAAATATTTCTTACCAGTTGCACACAACGTGCCGTAACTTTGAAAAGAACCAGTTTCGAACAAGGTGACGCCGAAGTAACAACCTCACTCAGATCAATGCAACCTATCCAGAACAGAAACAGCCCACTTTGTTGCATGTTCTGTCTGTATTCTGAGGTTCAGTTGTGAGACAATTAGACCGGTTTACGTTGGTTAACTTAATGAAAATGCATAAATGTGATTTAGAGAATCACATGGACTACCACTGGCTACTGAATACTACCATTCTGCCCATCCAAAACTGACACGTTTATCCGCAACGGTTTTGGTGAAACTCACGTATTCGTGCCCCGTAATCCAGGCATACGTGTATTCGTTCGCAGGACAAATATAGATTCGCTTGTCCTTAGAAAAAGCTGACCAACTTTGTTTATGTTCATTGGAAAAAGTTGTCACGTAGACTGCAGTTTTGGGTCCTTTAGACAACAGAAAAAACCGATCAATATCAACGTGGGAAAGGTTAGGTAAATTAGGTAAATTAGGTAATTAGGTAATTAGGTAATTAGGTAAATTCCTAAATCTCACGGAAATGGAAAAACCCTGAGAAATCTAGAAGGAACGTTTTGACAGAACAGTATGGTTTTGACGCTTCTTGAGGATAATTAGTTTGGCGCGATCCTCGATTTTCTCTCAGACGTAATTATTTGTGTAACCCAAGTTGGACGAAACTTGGCAATTGCTCTTATGCGTGACATTCAGCTGGATTCAGTTGGGTAAGCCTGTCAAAACCAGCTGAGTATGTGAATGTATAATCTGTATTTTTCATGGTAAGATACTACTCATAACAGACCACAGACGAGAGCAGTTAAAGTTAGTCAGGTCACAAGTATTAGATATGTTGTTTATAAAGACTGCATCCAGCTATCAGTGGTGTTTGTTTCTCAAGGAGAACAACTTATTACAAGTGTTGAACAGGTATTACAGTGGCTATGACTAGTCTTAAAACAGAAGCGACATTAAACGATGAAGGCTGATTTTTGTGCAATCACCGGCGAAACGCTTCTCGTATAGAGCCAGGGACTGCCTCCATACAAGAATAACGAAGAGAACAAGAATGAATCAGGCTTGAAGTTTCCTTCTGTTTTACTGGCCAGTGCGTTATTTTAACCATATATGAAGTTCACTATGGTTGCTATTTAACTGGCTGTCCATGACAGTCAGCCAAAAATATTACCGCACTTGCTGCCCATAGTTGAAGTAAGAAGATTGAGAAACATGGAGCCGGCGTAGCAAGACTCCAAGTACAAGTTGTACTCTCTTTCTGAATGTATGTAGGCGTGGGTAATCTTTCGACTCCTGTCATAGATTTGTCCCAAGAAAGAATATTCGCGTGGGCATATGTTGCCCTGGAATATCAGTGCCGCCATGTCCACTGTAATGTTAGTTAGCTACACTGCTGACAGCGTAAGTCTCCCTTGAAAATTGTGCGCAAGAACCAATGATAGAACGAATTAGCTTGCAGCTACAAAATCTGAATAATTAACGGTCAAGCCCATCCCTATAGGAAATTTCAGCTGTTGTCCCGTTTCACGAAATTTTAGTGTAATTTTCATTGTATTGAAGAATTCCAAATGCCATCACACTGTCAGCAGGTTGAAAATAGTTCAGAGGGCACACTAATTCACACGACGAATGGACCATACATGTGAAAAGTTGTCACTAGAGGAGTCACTCATTTGATACGTGGGTCCCTTGACTGGGGAATGGGTGACCTGATGTCTTGACTAAGTGCGGATAAATCAGGCTGTTAGTTGTCCATCCATGGCCAGACGGTTTATTGTTTCAACTAAAAAGCGCTCTACTGCTGATTCCCAATAAGGATAGAACAGTTGTACGTTGCTTCACGGTCTTTCACCACAGACTGCATTCCTATACATAGTATACGAGGACCCCTCCATACTACCAAAGATTCGCGCTGTATCTCAAGAAGTGAAAAGAGCATCTTTTGTTCATATAATGTGCGCATTATGAGTAACCGTATATGGTTATGGTATCTGCGTTTGGACAGCAATCTAAATGGATCAACCGCAGAAAATACGAGGTGAACGACCTTGAGTATAGCAAAATCTATTTGACGTTATTATTTAAAGCACCTTGGAGAGACTTCCAACACACGTAACGTCCGGTTCATTTTTCGGTTGATTTGAAGGCCACAAGTAAGCAGATCCTTTCATATAATTGCGCATTATGAGTAACCGTATATGGTTATGGTATCTGCGTTTGGACAGCAATCTAAATGGATCAACCGCAGAAAATACGAGGTGAACGACCTTGAGTATAGCAAAATCTATTTGACGTTATTATTTAAAGCACCTTGGAGAGACTTCCAACACACGTAACGTCCGGTTCATTTTTCGGTTGATTTGAACGCCACAAGTAAGCAGATCCTCTCTTTAACGAAAAATCGTCGATGACTATGCGCAATCATATGTTTGTCTAAGACTCTAAAATCCAATCGCAGTTTAGCTTCCTATTTAAAACGCTGTGTGCTATAACCGTGGTTACCAATAAAACTAAACTTACTGTATGTCTTTTGAATCCAATAGAGCGATACGAACCGTTGTCGGAGAAAAAAATGAATACGTTGTAATCAGGTCCGCTGTAAGTGAACACGAGTTTTGAAGTGATCTCGAAGGGTGGCTTTTTGCGTGGCGCTCTGACACACAGCAAAGCGGAAATGGATATTTGATGTTTTTGTTCTCGAACAATGTGGGTTTTATTTCCCGAGTGGTTACTTAATCGGCTTCGGCTAACCGGTGATTGTGGATAGCAAAAGAATATGAGAAGATTCACAGTTCTTTTCCCTCAGTAGCGGATGGGAAATCACAGAATAGCCGCAGAAGTGGAAACATAGCGAACGCACAGGGTAAAAAATCAGCTGACTTCTGAGAGCATTTTGTCAATATAAAAAACTTTGACATGGAACACTAGAATTCTGGCTGTGGTCAACAATTGCGGCAACAATGTTAACTTCCGCACGAACTCATCTTTTCAGCACCTTCTTCCCCGTGTCTTCAAGTTTTTTATGTCCTTTCAATAATTTCAGGAATGTATCCGGTGTTACATCCTTAAACGGATAAACATGCATGATAAGTTATTCCTGCGACAATGGTGTTCTCCGCACTCATTATATTTACGGTAGCCATCCACTTGCAGTCTTGCAAGTAGCGGAGCTTTAGGAGCTGCTCTCCTTCACTCATATTACTTTCACGACGGTAGCAGAATGTTGAATAGTGAAGAGATCTGTTAGCTGAACACGGCAGCTAGATTTGATCCTCAAGCCCAGTGTTTTGAGTTCAGTCGAGCAAAAATCTCTCGGAAGCACGACCAAGTAGCCTTCGTCTACCTCGGCAGCCGAAGGTCAAACACCCATGAGAACTAGGCGGTATCTTGAATTGAGCACCTACCGTCAGCAGTCAACTAAATTACAGTTGAACGTATAATTTGTGATATCCCCTAACCTAATGTGCTGGTTTGAACAGGCTGCTTGGTATGGTTGATGCATCAGTCGAGGAGAAAACTACTTATAAGTTTACTGGAAACTCTTCGAAAATCAACAACCTATTTTGCCATATCAAAGCTTATCAGGGAGGTCCAATCTCCGATTTTACATCAGATGCATTTTCTACCAATGAATGAGACTGCCTTCCCTGGCACATTCAGGTGAAGGGTATCAGACATGGGGGATCCCGCTGAAATTCCTTCGAGTCTCCCGTTAACGTCAAATAAGTTTCCAAATGAGAGTTGCGTGAAAATTTGATGTGAAATCTGGAAATGAGACTGACGGCAACTTGCAAGCCGACACCAATTTACCGTTGTGAGCTTGGAGCTTAATTTTCACTCTATTGGTCGGAACATTCGACAGCCTCCTGATCCAGCGTCAAGACGAGCTGCAACTAAAATTATTAGACAATCCTGGTCCAGTGTCCATTTAATGATGTCTGCCAATGGCGCATTCAGGAGGCGCTACAGTTTAAAGATAGTCACCGCATACGCATCGTGAACGACGCGCTTTATCTGGTTCTGGTCACTGATAAACGCTGTAAAAGTCTGGTGGCTCTTTTGTCAAGAGAGCTGGATTGGAAGCTTTGGAACGAGAACTACCCTGTTATAATACCGAGAATACCCCGTGAGTCTATTTGTAGGCCGCCAGCAAAATGTCGTCCCCGGTCGTCTTTTGCTCAAGATAACTTTATAACCTAATGACTCGTGTTCGTTCTATGTTAGAGTTTAAGGATTTCTCGTCCCCACGGTTAAGTTTCTGTTTTCATTCGCAATGCTACGTTACTTGCACCATGCGTTACACTGTAAACACATTCCTTTGTTTGCTCGCTTACATGTGCACGGTAGTCAATTACCACACCCTTGTAAACATCTTCGTGCTCGTAATCATGGAATATTTTGCATGGATACGGGCCTCTGAAATATAAGAATTAAAAGGCGTGGTCAACTTTTCGGAAAGAAAGTAACATGTATTTCAAATACAACGAAACGCAAAACTCGAAAATTATCTTGGACGTTTGCTCCCGGTCTTGTTTGTGAATAACGGTTCACGACGATGATTGCACACTCTGTCACATTTTCGATTAATTGTAGACCAACGACCTTGGTTGAAACACTGATGTATAGATTCTACAATAAACCCGGTGGGCAAATTTTGTGTGATAAGGTAATTAGGTTATATACATATATAGCCAAACGCCGCTAGTAAAAGTTAATATGAGCATATCCTTATCCGGTGCCCTTGAATGTGAAATAACTGGGGAACGAATGACATCCGAATATTACAACCTTCAAGTAACAAGCAATCTTTCATATTTTCGAAGGTTTCGGTCACTAATCCTAGCAATCTGGTGTGTTATAAAACGCTATGTCTACTAGATTATCTGCTTAAGGCTTGTTCCAAATCATCAGCTGGCAGATGAACTCAAACGACATTTTGGTGTCGCCGACATTAATTTCAGACTACTGACAAATGAAAGGTAGTGAAAAGTACTATTTACCAGCAAGGGTGTACCACAATGGCTACATTTTAATCTTGTATCGATTGTGCTGGTTTCATCAAGGTTCTATGGCGTTTGCAATCATAAAAATATGAAACTTCAACCATGCAAGATATGCGTGAGAAATACGGCTAAAAATGAGACGATTTAAAGCCAAACAAAGAAACGCGTTTTCTACACGCTATTTGCTACCATATAGCGAAAAATGTGCGCGATGTTTACTTGGGATTGTTTACAGTATCGTAGTAAGCAAAGGTAATTTTATTCTCCGCTGGTGCTCTGTTTGCACGCACGACTTATTACGCGTGGAGAACGCCCGCAGAATAGGGATATAAATGGCACGTGCAATGAGGACACCAGGCATATTGGTGCATAGAGGCTGATGGAGGCATAGAGAATGACTAGAATCATGCATACTTGGTGGGGTATCAGTCCTGTGAACAGCTTTCGGATGCCCTATACCTGTCCAATAATTTGAATGTAACACACTTGTGTCGGCGTCAATCAATTGCTTGAATTTGGGCACGGCAGTATACCAGTCAGATATTTGGCTGTTGCAAACCTGAAATACATTGTTTGGGAGTTTCCCTCGTGATTTCACACCTATTTAGAATTATTCGGTCCATGCTTCGTGGGAGAGTCCTGAACCCGATACATTCCGGCAAGCACTAGGAACCTGATCCAACTGGTCGCCAGCAGCTGATTAGCTTGCGCCGCTTCCCTCTGGAAAACGCGGTTTGATGGGTATTCTCTAATGAAAGCAGAACATGAAAGTCATCGTAAGCGTGGTGAATCAAAATATATTGTCAATAGTGTTTCGATGCATTGCGTTTATCAGCTTATTTGGGCGCCATCACATGAGACAACTCTGCTTCATGGCTACCACATCAGTTTTCACTGAATGGTTTCGTGATAACCCGTCAAACCTGTTTTCCATATGGCATTGTGAGTAACAAATAAACTGGGGCAATTTCTTATCAGAATGGTATAAATTCGGTGCCAGAATTTATCCCGAAAGTTCATTGCTGATTCTTCCGGAATTAGATGTTTAAGTGTTTGAAAGTGTTGCACGTCGATGGCTGGATAGCTTTCAAGTTCGTCAATTTCCATCACCACTCAAAGTCATCAGGAGCAGCTGTACACTCGGGTAAGAAAATAATCAAACGAGATTTTTCATCGCACCAACGTGATTTCCCAAGAGGGCGAAACAGTGATATTTATAGATCATGAGATTTTGCATCAGGTTTCACGACATCCTACGGATTGACCTCCATCGATCGACAATTTAAACATAACGACTTCTCCAATCGTTACACGTATAGCAGACTGATTGAAGGAAGGAGGAAGGGGGTTTCTCTTACTCGGTTACGCACAGCTCTCCGCTTGTGCTTTTCCATTCTGAGGTTTTCCTCGAATGGATCTGGGCCCTGATGGCTCGTTGAATAATTAAAGGAGGTTGGTCATCTCTCGACAAACTGTGTGTTTAGCTTAGATTTCCGATCATCCTAATGACCACGGATAACACCCTTTATCTTGGAAGATGTTTTCTGCGCGACCATTCTAGATGCAAATCCTGAAAGAAACTCGAATGGTGTTCCTGTTCGCCTGTTGTGAGTAAAATCACGCAAACTGCAAATATGCTTCATCTGGGTCTGTCAAAGACAGAAAGAGCGAGATTGGACCACTAGGGCCTGAACGGTTTGTGCGTCTTAACAACCCAGTGAGCAGTGTATATGCGACATTCATAGAGTATCTCATACAAGGTTACACATTGGGTTGGATTGAGTGGTAGATTTGTGGGTTGGATTCACTCTTCTCACTGTCTGCACTATCCACCTCCAGTGCAACTAGGCTTCTGGGATGAAAGCCATAATCAAAGACACCAATGACCTCCTTTCTATTTCCGGGTGTCCCGTTGTAACGGCATATAATACTGACCAGGCACGCGAGTAGTCTGTGGACTTCTTGAAGCTCCGGGCCGTGTCAAATTGAAGGTTAATTTTATTACTGAACATGTGGAAATATTTTACGGTGTCCGTTTACAGTGACATACTTTCACTCTCCTAATACTCTTGGGGATTTTCAGTTTTCGTAAGCGATGAGCGAATGAGACGTTTAATTTCGCGTACAATAATACCAACCCCTTAGTTGGTCTTTGCGAACAGATATTACTCGATTAAGGGTATTCCTCCTTTCACTGGTATTATCACAGGTTAGTTTCAAGTTTGGCTTACTAGTGATCCCATGTCACATCGGCCGCGGGTGGTGTCATCAAACAGGTTGCATTTTCTGCTGTATACCGCAGGGCGCTTAAGCGAAGAAGACTACAAAGGAAGTCTTCCTTCCTTTTTTTGCTTTCATATATCCGGTATTCACACTTTCCTCAACCCCTGGTGGTGACAACCACGTATGCACATTTCTAACATCTGAGGGATCTGTTTATCTCCCATTGTCGTCAACTTCAATATTCGCGGTCAGTTCGGTCGCCAAATTTCAAACACTCCGGAAATATTCTTTAGTTCGTGTGTCAATTTCTGACGTTTCCGCGGCATCCTTGTTCGCTGGACACGTTTTCCAAAAAGAATAGTTAAGATCCCATGACGGTTGCTATGCTGATATCTTTGTGGGTTTCCGCCGGCTCACTTCCGGGCTCCTCTGCTGATCCTCTGCTGTTCCACTGGGGTTGGTATTGTTTCGGGTTACCGGACCGAAGGCTTTCGCAGTGAATAGTCTAGAGCATTGATGGTAGCTTTTTTGCCACACACTTCCACGCACTTCTTCGATTCGGCTCAGTCGCCAGAGCCTTAGACGCTCCGAAATTATTCTTCAGTTCGTCTGTCAATCTAACGCAAGCTGCACAGGATGCTTATTCGATGGACACGCTTTCTGTTTTTCCCCAACAGGGCTGCTGAACTGATCTCTGCATGGGTTTTGCGCCCGCTTTTACTTGCGCGCCTCTCGTGATACGGAAGACGCTGCTGCCCGTTCTGGGTCCCCAAGCCGAATGGGGCAACATCTTGCAACACCTTGGAGAACCTCCCAAAAGCGCGCTGTATATTCCTTCTCTCTGCTTTCTCTCAGACAGATTGTAGCGCGGATTCTTTCACAGATAGTTTCTGCGGTTTTATGAGTGCTCTGTTTAGGTGAGACAAGAGTCCATAAGTTCTTGTGGTTGTCGAAGACATGAATGCACAAGTAGGCAGACTTAGCGCTTCCGCTAATCATTCGGGTGTGTCCAGGACGGGAGTTGACATTGAAAGACAACGGCGAATGCCAGTGATAGTTACGTGTTGAAGATGGACGGGAGTTACTTCCGGTAACAATCGAAGCTACTTCGTCTTATGGTGCTACTTTACTCAAACCAACATGCAACCTCGACAGACCACATCGATATTAGCTTTAGTTGGCATTGCTCATCAAGAAACACCTTTGTAAACCTGGATCAAATGCTTGTTCGTTGCAGATTTCTGTTTCTTTATTGCTGGAATTCGATGTTGAGCACATTTCAGGTGAACCTTAAGAAGCTTTCGAAACCTGAGGTCAAATAAGCGTACCAGAACCAATATTGAAGTCCCTCCCGTACACGGCGTCTCTCGAGGTTAAATTTTACTGGGAAGTGCAGTCTCCAAGATGCTCGTTATACACGGCGTCTCTCGAGGTTAACTGGGAAGTGCAGTCTCCAAGATGCTCGTGCACTACGCTTGTGAAATGGTGCATTGGAAATGATGCAAAGATTGAATTACTGGCAGTATGCTGAAGTTCTTTGAAGCTTGAACAAGTTCCCCCCATGTAGAGAGTACATTATTACTCAACAAACTGTGACACTTCTGGCAAAAACTGAGCGCCTGCATGAGTTGAGAAGCTGTGTGGGCCAAAAAAGTGGGTGAAGCAAAGAAACTCTTGGGTTGTGCTTTTCTTATGCCAGTTATTAACCGGCCAAAAGAGACCTCCCATGAGCCAAAAAAATACTGGTATACATGACTAAACATTAGATTACATATTTTCAACAATTATTCGATTAACTAATTGCAGTCTAAGCAAGCTGAGTTGCTTCGATGGCGCCCTAAGTGGTTGTATTTGTCCCCAATGAGTTTGCTTTACTACCGTTGTGACAAGAATATTTCTTCTGCCTACTTTATGTTGTCTCACGGAGGAATTTGAAGACGTGGCCAAGAAGAAGGATCCCATTTTTCCAGGGTTTGCTTGGGCCATATCTTAAAGTTCGTCTAGTGTCAGGACGAAGAACATGCGTACCCACTGAATCTTCTTATTGGATACAGACACATTCAATATGCTTAATCGTTTTGCCCACTATTCACATATAACTTCATGCAAATAAGGCACGGGCGGACGAGTGAATTTAATCGAAGTGGTGTTCCATATGTTTATTTCAAACAAACACTCTAATTTACGGTACTGGGAAGTCTAGAAGATTTACTGTGATATGGTGAAGCTACAAAGCAAGGCTTGTGATGGATTAAAGGTCATGAAATTCCTAGAGTTTTCTGATTTCATGGAAGAACATACCTTCTGCTCGTAGACAGTTATTTAAAAAAAATAACGCAACATAAATTACTTATGAATGACGATGTTGGTCTCCAAATAAGGTGAATCAAGGTATGCATCTCAGTATCATCTGAGTTTAATAGGTCCGGAGAATCGACCTAACACAAACCGAAATACCGTAGCAAAACAAGGAAAAAATGTCGAAAATGAACACAAGTCACTAAATGTGTGGCTATTAGTTGGCATCTATCCACCAACTGTTGCAGTGGAATATTATAGCACTGGGGAGATTAAGGAGACAACTGATTGGTGTGTAATTGGCGCAAATATCCACTAGGAAAACCCTTCCGTGCCGGTTTAGAACGTTTTGAGCATCACACAAATGAAATAATAATGCAAACCTACTTGATGCAAATATCCACTAGGAAAACCCTTCCTTGCCGTTTTAGAACGTTTTGAGCATCAAATGAAATAATAATGCAAACCTACTTGATACCGACAATATTCTTAGGTGCTGGAACTAGCAACAACGACAACTCACTTCTTTGGCGGCTTGTCGTTAAATATCAATGACAGATTGCGGACCCCTGTGGCTTCCAACCATGCAACGTGGTCGATGCAAAACAACAACGCAATAAGAAGCAAAGAGAGACGCATCATCTGTCTGGAACTTTTTTACTGTGCACCTCCTGTGAATCGAACTTTGTCTTACAAGTGTATAGCGATAGTGTGAAAAAGCTGTCCACCACAAATCTAATAGCACTGCGGTACAAAGATATTGCTAACCAGTGTATCATCGGCAAATTTGATCAGTTTGTTCAATGACTGATCAACTGGACAAATTTCTTTCATTAATGTATGACCATTGGTGATTAGTGGTGGATTTAAGGTCATCCATTGATCGCATGTGCCCTTCAGAAAGTACTGAGCAGTAAACTGAATCTGCAAAAGGGTTCCACGTAGTGGTGGTACCTATATGGACATTTTTGTTCTATGGGGTGGTTGTCCCGGTTTCTTGTATCAAAATAAAATAGTGAAAAATCGTACCCCACATTTTCGCATTTTCGCATTCTTGCAGCAGGTCAGCGTAACAGATGTGACTTTCTACAATTTCATTTTCAATTTTCAAAAGCAGGGATGCGCGCAGTATGATTCCCTTTTATCCTATTTCAATCAGAAAGCGATGATAAACCCTCACAAGCCATACCAGCTGGAGTTTTTATGAATGCTTTATTAGTACTTCTATTTTTCTTAAAAATATACTTCATAATTCGCAAGGCTCACCTGAGTGTGAAATGCTCTTCGGTTTGTGGGCGTCCGGAAATGACTTGAATCCATGTGTTTTGATTTTCGTGACTTGGTATAAAGCGTGTATTCGTCAATTTGTCTAGCGGTATTTACTTACGTTCAACCGTTCAATCTTCACATCACAACAGTTGTTGATGATTTAGTGAACTTCAAAGTGATAAAATGGCAGCTTTAAGATTAAAGCTTAATAATAGTAATAATAATAATAGTAATACTTCGGGTGCAGCACCATCTCGGCGTGCAGCAGCCATATTTCCCGAGAGAAGCACAACTGCTGAGCAGTCGTTTATTTACCCAAACCTGGACATGATGAACAGCGTTTCACATGCTGAATTCGAAACACGGTTATTAAATTCGAGCCTTAACTACTGAACTATCCTGAGCCCATTAGCTGACGTGAACGTCCGAAAGCAGTTGTCTATCGATGAGATGGTGTTGTATCTTGTTCCGAAGGTTTCGTACACTGAGTGATATATTTTCATGAGTACAAAAACATACTTATAATTAATATTTTTGATGCTTTCATTGTGTCGCGTGTTTTTTTCCGCCTAGCGCTCATACCAACTAGGCCTGTTTATGACCTAAAAGTTAACTAGTATTTGACATTCACTGAACGTTCAATCACTACTGAACTCTGATATAGTGCGCCCAGCACAAAGCAACCAACGTGGTTCGTCGTCGTAGCATTTCAATATCGTCATCACCATCATCATCATGATAATCACCGTCGTCATCGTCGTCACCATCATCATCAATTGCCGCGACAGCATGACAGGAGCGTAAAATACTAATGCTTCGCTGCGGAAAATCACGATTTATTTGAAAGACTTATAATAAAGGTGAAAATTGAAGTAACTTGCTGCTAGCTCACTACAATCAATCTCAGGTGTTTACGCCGCCAAGCATTCATTCAGGTAACTTACAGAAATACTGAAAACAAGGAAATTAGTGGCATTGATTGCGAGTTATATCCCGCGGTGTTCCCAACTTGAGTTCGTTTAAAGTTTTTTTGAAGATTCTGCGAACATTGCAGGGTATTTCAGTGCTATCAAGGAATACCGTGAATTTTTTAAACGTTTCACAAATGTTTTTTTAATTATTTCCGAACCGATTTCTCATGGGTGTGTACCTTGGGTCCGTTGTGGGAATCGCTCACTCAGATGATGGATTACGTAGTAGTACTCGACATTCTGGAAGAATCGCTAGAGTCTTTCTACGAGCAATCCTTCTTTCTGGACGTGAGTTTATCTCTCCTGCTCGTAGGTTTGCTGCGGTGTGTATCGAACTACTAAATAAATTAGTTTTATACAACTCACCGTGTTTGAGCTAGTGAACAAGGGGGTTAATACGAATACGCGGTCTTGGATATTGACTAGTTCACTCGAGAAAAATTTCGGATCTAAATCACTGAATGCAACGACACTAGATGTCAGAATGCCGTTTACTTACTAAATGTCTTCATGTGGATTTGGTCAAGTATCGCACCCTGTGCTGGAGTTTTGATCTGCGAAAGTCTGCCCGGTTTAGCTACTTGATAAACAAGATGAAATTTATTTGGTTCGTTCGTGGAGACACTCAAGTTGATGCAAAACTTTTAGCCACCGTCATGCTGTTAATGAAGATTGCTTTGGCATCAACTCACGATAATTTCACCCTGGAGGCAACAGCGCGGCATCTCCCAAGGGCGCACGGAGACTGCTTATTACGGGGCGTTATTTAGTCAGTTCCAAGCGCGTTGCATCACGATTCAATCGGTTGGTTTAACGGAATTTAAGTGAGAGTGATGTGATACGAGTGGACTGTCAACCTCTGCATCACAGGAGAAGCTTGTCAGTAGCTTTTTAGGAGAAGGATGCTGTTCATCTGTGAAAATTTTGCCACCTACCTTAAAGCATTGGGTGATCAGTCAATCAAACGAAACAACAACCCGATTGCCTCAGTATAAACGGATATTAGATAAACTACCCACAAAATCCCCTAGGATTTTATATCCAAACCACATGGATAAGCTATTCTGGCATTCAGCAATATATGGTCATTCGCTTCGGTCTCCCTCAGGTGGGGCGTCTAAATTTTTCGCGCGTTCCAAAGCAATACTATGGAGGATGCAATCTCCAACTTTTGATGGTAAGAGAAAAATCTTAGGGAGGTTGTGCGGATTCCTTCTTGTAGGTGGAGGCATTTTGTGACCAGAAGCACCGTGAAGCCAATTCATTCTTAGTGGGAGTCATCAGCGGTGCGCATCTCACGAAAATCCAGGTATCTTCTAACCGAACTGGTGAGGGTCCATCTAGTTGGTTCAGCACTTGACCGTTGAATCTCGAGCGGCTGGTGAGAAGTGTGATTAGCTCTCACTCATCCTTCAATAACGGAAAACCACAACGCATGGTGGCGTGCTGACCGGCTTCTCGAGTGGCTACTATTGGGAGGAAGTTTCACAATCCAATGAAATTACCTTTCCACTGATATGCTGGTGTAGCCAATC